TAATGACACCACTAGCAACGCCAAATAATTTACATCCCTTTACATCAGTGAATGGTTTTAAGGGTTGGCATTGAGAGTTAATACTGATAACAAAGAGGGCTAAACATGACATGACTGTGACCTTCAGATGGACTTCTGGATGTTGTTGCCCTACTGTAGTAAGCACATCGACCTGTATTATCAATGACTGTTTCACTAGGGTTGTTTCCTCGTAGGAAAAAACTCTGGGCCTCGTAGACACCTAATCCGTAGGATTCAGAGGGGTCCCTGGGCATCCCCGTCTTCCTAAGAGGGCGTCTCTTACACTATTGCTCAGAGACCTATTTCAAGACATGTATGAAACTCTCTTCTGAATTTTACTCATTTCTCCTCTTTTTAACTCAAGGAACCTTAACCTTAGTCTTTTTTATTTCAAAACTCAAGTACTCATTATTACTACATAGCCAGTTGATTTATGGTTCCAATCTTGTCTGATTTGTAACCCATTTTTAAGTACTAGTAAAATGCTATTTGTAATTTGCTGCCCTTTCTTTTAAAGATCCAGATGTTTCTTAGCTTATACATTTGTCAGAACACTACACTGAGGAGTTATCAGTTATGGAAGTGACATTAAAATATTTATCCTGACACCATGAAGTATCTGTGGGCTCTAAGACTCAATACTTAAACAGTACCAGAGAGCCTTTTCTGCATGCCTTTGTCTCCTCTCAGGCTGCCTGTTCCCAGAAGACTGGCAGTGGCAGGTGGGACCCTATCTCTCTCCACCCTGCCGACTGCTTCTGCTCTCCATCACCACAAACCCAAGATTGGCAGGGAAAGTCCATACTGTTCGCTAGCAACAGGTAGTCAATCACTCATTTCGCACAAAGACAGGAAGGACTGTCTGTAAAATATCTTTGGAGGTCTGCCAGTAGCATTGAAGTCACTTTCTGTCTGGAGGGCAGCCACGGTGCTTTAACACTGAAGACGTAAATATGGGGAATTCATCAAACTCCTATTAAGTAGAGGCTTTGTCACCTTAAAAAATTAAGTGGTTGGATCAGAAATTCCCAAGTCCATATTTCATATTTCAAGCAGTGTAAAGTTTATAAGATGCTGTCTATAATTTAAGAAACCAAGTTCCATAGCAAACAAAAACATCTGTCATGTGTAAAGATTAGGTTTTGAATGAGAAAATGGTGCTATTTATTTTGAGAGGCAATTAAGACCTTGTTCCCTGTGACAGAAAAATATAGATACAGATTACTTACATTAAACTACATATTACCTATCTGAGGAACTCGATTAATGATGAATGGACTCCAAAGAGAACCACTAAGCAAAACTCTTAGAATTACAGGTTTTCATGTGACTAACTGCTCCCTCTGATCCGTCGCCTTGAGTAAGCACCCACAGCCCTTGCTAAGACCACACCCATACCATAATTTTTGGGTTTGGTGGGGGGTTTGCAAACAATTACTGCCTTAATTCTTGTACTATCAAGCTCAAGAAACAGTTCACCAGTTAGGTCAACAAATCCTTAGTTTAAACAATTAGCAAAGAGACTCGGATAAACCTCCTTTATTGAGCAAGATTATGCTCTGCTATTTTCTGCTATTCCAGTATTACTTCTAAAAAAGTAGATCCTGAGGAAACATACCTGGGAAAAAAAGTCAACAAATTCAATCTGTTGAGGGAAGAGGGGGGAAGCTTCTTGAAAAAGTGACTTTAAAAAAATGTAAATTTTTGGACTAATGAAAGCAACATGATTGGTAGATCTTTAGAACCTTCACAGCAGGAATAGTAACTCAAAAACAAATAAAGGACAGGCCACACTTCCACACTGTCTGCGTTATATTCTTTTTGTGTCTACCTGTGTTAAATTTTAAACAAATTCTGAGTTATTTCCAGTATTTTAATCTACGCTAATATTTCTCGAAAGAAAAATTAACTTTCTGGGTTTGGGATAGAGTCGTGCAACTTCTTCCACATTCTTCAGTACAACTATATTATATTCAGTTGCATTTTGTTCAGAAACACACCTTTCTGACCTTCAAATAAAAATCAACAAAAATAATACAGCTCGGCATAATTGTACTCACAGCAAACCTGACTGAAACACACCTTGATGATTCATTTAGTGAGGGACGTTGTATGTACTCATATACCTACTAGCTCGCTTCTGTGAGGTAGCAAAGGTGTCCTTTGTTCTTAATCAGTGCTACCTTGTTAGAAAACCAGTCAGTCCTATTCATTCCTCTACTCTAGCAAGTAAAATTGGAAGAGGATTGTAAAATTGCCAGATAAACACGACTTAACCATTCCAAATCATTCCATTTTTCCACAAAACATCCAGAACTGCTGTTAGAATAAACTCAAATTTGCTGTGTGATTCCACAACCTTTCACCTTATTCGGAAAGAGCAAAAGATACCAAAATGAGACAGGCTGCAGGACTGATTTCCTTTGGTGTTAAGGGTAGCATACGTTGTATTTAAATTTTCATACGTACTGTATAGAGCGCGGAGACTGAACTACCACTGTCCCTGAACATATATTTGAGGAAAAAATAAAAATGTTACTATTATAATAATTATTACTACGTATACACATTTACATATATGTGCGTACGTATATATAATACTGTTTTTATTTTCACCCTGACCCTTTGATTTGAAGGCTTTGATTTTTTTTAACTGTGGAATTATCAATATTTTAATGGAAAATGATTTCTCTTTGGAAAACCGTTCAACTTCTTTCTTTTGTTAGGCAAGCTTGTGTGCGTTTAGTGTTCTGCCTTGTCCCCATCCTCACAGTCCTAGGGCGGGACTGAGGCCGCTTTCCCTCCAGGGAACACTGATCAGAATGCCACCCTTGCCTGGTCAGCCACCGTATCCCAATCCGGGACTCCCTTGACGGGTACTAGCCTGCGCCTGCCCGCACATCCCAACACAGAAGGTTACACCCTTCACGGTGGTGGAAAGGTTGCCCAGCGATCCCTCCCAAAGGCCCCCCAAAGAGCAGGTCTCCATGGCCACGCCCCCACCTCGAGGGGAGGAGGGCACGCACGGAGACCAGCCGGCACCACAGAAAAGGGCAAGTCCGGTGCGGCCCCGGCCAGGTGGCGGAGGGACCAGCGACCTGCCGCGCAGGGCCGTCCGGCGGCTGAGGGTCCCCTCAACCCCCCTCGGCCCCACCCCCAGCCTCGCCCCCGGCCCGCAGCAGGCCGGTCGGCGCACGCGCGAGTCGATGCTCCCAGCCACTGCGCCCTCCCAGGCTACAAGCTCGGTCCGGGAAGACACGGGCAGAGTGTGCACGCTGGGGGGCGGAAGGGACGCCCCGGGGCTGCGTGACAGAGGCTCGAGTGGGCGAGCATGGGCGGGCCGGACCTCCTGGGGGCACCTGGGCTCCATCTTCTTCCCTCAGGGCTGCGGGGCGGGGTTTCTCCTGGCGGGGGGGCGAGCATGACCGTTAGGCTGGAACACCGGGAGACGGTCCTGGCAGCTCTGGGCCGCCACCCGCGCCGCAATAAAAGCCTCTCACGGCTTCCCGCCCAGCCAGCCTCGCTCTGATTGGTCGCCATGGGAAAGGGACCCGAGTTGGCTGGAGGCGGTGGCCGGGGCTACTCCCGTGCCGCCCGGGGAGGGCCCACCCCGAGCGCTCCCCAACCCGGGCTCCGCCGTCTAGGGTAGCAGAGGCGGCACCTGGCAGCGGCCGCCGGGACTCACCGTCCCCTCTGCTCTGCTCTCCCCGGGCGCTTCCCGGCACACGCCCCCCTCCCGGAATGTGCGCCCACCCCACCCAGCTCTCTGAGGCCCCTGATCCATTTCTTCCTCCTTCCCGACCATCCATGCCAGAGCGCAAATCCCTGGGTGGGGTGGGGTGTGGAGAGCAGCTGGAGGGGACGTTGGGCGAGCACAGAAGAATCTCCCAGGGAGGCCGGGGTGGAAATACCCTAAATGAAATGAACCTCCCTCCCGGCCGGCCACCGAGGTTTTCTGGGCGGCGGCGCAGCCCCCGCCACCCGCGCGGCAGCATCCCTCGACTATCTCCTCCTCAGCTCCCTATTGTTCACACTTTGCTAGATTCAGGAACCTCGCCCAAAGAAAGGAGGCTAGGCGAGGTGCTGCGGGTGGCTACCTGCCATTCTTCTCGCGCACCGTGCAACACGGGGCTCGCGGTGAGTGTGAAGGCACACGCGCGCGTGCACACACACACGCGCACACACACACCAGGCAGCCCGATCACGCCCTCCTCGCCCTCCGCCCCTCCGCACTTCCTCCTGTCAAAACGCGGCGCTCGGCCCTCCCATCCCTCCGTGCTCCCGGCCGAGAGCAGGCTTTGCAAGTAACCAGCGAATTGGCAAATGAAAAACTAACGTCATATCGACGGGGGTGCAAGAACGGCCACACAGCCCTGAGATTCTGCCCATTTTCGCCTCATTTTGCAAACCGTTATTCACCCCGGGCAGGAGGGGGGGGGGGCTGGGCGCGACGGCGGCGAGCCCCACTTTATTAGACCCAGGGAAATAACGATGGGGCAGCCGCCCCTGCCTTATTGTTCACTCTTCCCGGGACCGGGGCTCACGAGCCCCTGCCCCGCGGAACCTGAGCCCGCGCAGCAGCACCTCTGAGCCGCGGCAACCCCGCCCCGCCGCCCGCTTTGGGAAGGAGCGCTGCCCAGCACCGGTGCGGCCACAGCGTCCCCGGGAGCGTCCCCGTCCCCGGGAGCAGGCGGCTCGGCTCCCGCGTTGCGGGCACACAAAGTGGGAAGGGCGGGCGCGCCGGAGGCGCGTCCGGTGCTCGCGGCGCTGGTAGGCAGCCCCGGTCCGGCGCAGCCCCGGAGAGCGCAGGGCTCGGCGGGGCAGCAAGGGCTACGCGCTCCTTCCTCGGCTCAACGACAATGACCACCCTTAGCATTCCACGTAAAGCCACCCCAAATACCAGTGTCCTCGTGGGAGGAGGAGGGGGGAGGGGGTGATCAGTACATCAGACTGAGAATAATCATAATTTCAAAATGTACCTGCAGTTCCCAGGAAAAACAAAGTCCAGATGAGATCCTTAGTTTGCAGCATTGTAATCTGCTGGCTGGGAGGGACGTTCTTGCCGCGGTAAATTCTGTGCCCCCCCCCTTGCAGAGAGTGTGGACGGCGGCAGAGCCACAGACCTAGGGGCAGACAATTGCCAGGCTGAGTATGATTATTTTTGCAGAATTGTTTCCTGCCAGCGGCTTGCCGAGCTGCGTTCACGCGCTGATCGGAGAATGAGTGACAGTCCCAGCCTCAGCACACTCGCAACTCGGAGATCCTTGCGCTGGCCCGGGTTCGCTTTGATGGAACTGGGGATGGAAGCGGGGGGCGGGGGGGCGGGGGTGAGAACCTCACTGTGTCCTTCCACCACGCTGGCCACAAATAGTGCCGAACATCAAGGAGGTAAGAGAGACAGGGGAGGCAGATGCGGCCGCCTGCAAAACGCGGCCTGGAGCTGCTGGAGGAGTCGGGCTCTTTCTCACGCAGTCTTCAGGCAGAGCTGGGATTTCTTTTCACACTTCTCCCCCACGCCTCCACGGTCCCTCCTGCCACCCAGCCTTCCTTAGTTGGGAAGGTGGATATTTTAATAACAGTAAATAATAAATACACAATCTTAGGTTTGGTTAGGTTTTCAAAGTCGTCCAATCTCTCCATTTAGATCCTAAGATCCTTGAAACACAGGATAGCTTAGGACTTTTTTTTTTTTTTTTTTTTTTTTTTTAAGTGCAGGAAATTAGAAATTTGGAGAGGGATGGAGATAGACTGCTAGTGCAGGGTTTTCCTTTGGGTTTGTTTGTTTGTTTGTTTGTTTGTTTTAAACTGGCTATGAAGTTTACTCTCCCACAGAGTGGCAACAGATCTCAGGGGAAGGAGGTGGGAAGCTACTTAAGTTTGAAGAAAACGCAGATGTTTGGAAGGAATTTCCAGAAATAACCGAAGGAAATGTTTTCTTGTTTATGAATGCTGAAATCTGTGGTCTCTTTAGGAAGATCACTGAGCCTTTTACGTAGATTTTATGGTACAGGCGAGATACTGGATATTAATTTTTTCTTATAATGGCACAGAACCTCAATTCTTAAAGCTATTCACGTAGGATATCACTGAGGTACGCACAGAGGGTTTCAGTTAATCTTACAATTGTATTTTATATAGAAGAGGGTGGGGGAGCAGGGGGGAAATAAACATGTCTCAGCACCTGAGCAAGGCTTGAGTGTTTAAGAAACAAAATTTGAGGGGCGCCTGGGTGGCGCAGTCGGTTAAGCGTCCGACTTCAGCCAGGTCACGATCTCGCGTTCCGTGAGTTCGAGCCCCGCGTCGGGCTCTGGGCTGATGGCTCAGAGCCTGGAGCCTGCTTCCGATTCTGTGTCTCCCTCTCTCTCTGCCCCTCCCCCGTTCATGCTCTGTCTCTCTCTGTCCCAAAAATAAATAAACGTTGAAAAAAAAAAAAAAGAAACAAAATTTGAAGAAGAATCAGGAGCACAAATTGTTCTAGATGCTGGACTAGCTTATTAGCCCAGCACAGTGACCCTCCCAGAGGAAGGCTGCCACGTTCAAAGCACCAATGCATCAATATTACCAAGCACTCCCTTTTTCTTTAAAGGTCAGGCTCTCCACAGTTGTACCGCTCTTTAAAATCCCATCCTCCACTAGCCAAACAGCCAATCTCCATTACCAGAGAGGCTGGTATCTCCTTCCTGTCTCCTCCCACGTGTTAGACCATGAGAGCCACACCAGCACGCTATGACTTCTGGGACCCCTAAAAAAGAGTTCCTTTCCCAAATCCATCTTTCCAACGTCATTGCTTAAATACTTATCTCATGCCAATTATAAGTAATTCAAAAATACAGAAAAGTAGAAAGGAGGAGCTAGAAATACCCCCCAAATCCCAGATGCCAGATACCCACAGATTTTGTCCTTGTATACGCATTTGATTTTTAGAAGTGACATAGTATAGTAGCAACTGGAATCTTGTTTATTTTCCCTAACATTTCATTGTAAGCATTTTCCCAGGCCATTAAAAAGACATTCTAAATATTTTTATCGCTATGCAATATTTCTATATACCAATGGTTCTTCAATGGTCTCCCCCTTGTTGGATATTTATATGGTTTCCAAAGTTTGATCATATAAATAATGCTTTTTGAACATCTTTCAATAAATATTTATTGAACAACCACTGTTTTTAGTCCTGTGCTGGATATAGTGGACCATATAGATTTTTCTAATGGTGGCTATATTTAAGCATATTTACCTTCAGATATAAGCTTCCATTAATATGTAAAATTACTACTACTAACATATAACATTAAGTCCCACGTATCAGACTCTTTTCCTAAAAAGAGATTTGATAGCAAAGAAAGAGAAAATAAGCCTGAAGGGTAAAAGGGGAAAAGGGAAGGTTGGAATACCCAAAATAAAATTTTCCTATTTCTAATTTTACCAAGAGTGGGAGACACACCCTTCTCTCAAAACCTCCCTCCTTATAGCCCGTGTCACTAGAATTAAAAGATTTCTATTTTTTTCTCCCCAAATGTCCCTATTTTTAGCTTTCTAACGTAGGCAGGTGTAGAAATCCTATCTGACTTCAGCATGATTGAATTTCTTTTTTTCTCTCTCTCCTGCCCCTCCCTGCCCTGTGGGTCTGTTGATCTGTGTTGTAATGACTCATTCTAGAATTATGCCCCACAGTGATTCCAATCCACATGGCATGGGTCTCTCCCATGTTCTTTCAACAGGACCCATCACTTGTCTCCAATTCGTCCTTTCTCCACTCATCAATGCCTATCTCTGTGAGCTCTGCAAGTCGGTCCCTCCCTGAACCCCACTTTGAAATGGGACAAAACTGTGGTCCTCCCCGATGTCTCTTCCCAGAGGGAGTCCTGGGGCTGTCAGACACACATTAATGAGCATCTATCCTGTGAACATCTGGGCGAGGAGGGAGAGGAAGGAGCCACTGGGCACAGTGCTTTAGAGTAGGAGCTTTCCTGGTAAAGCAGAAAATGGGCTACCAAGGCAGCCCCAGCAAGGGGTAACAGGTCCTAATCTAAGGCAGTGAATGGGGAAGAAAGCCAAAAGGAGCACAGATATGAGAAATATTTCTAAGATGAAAATAGCAGAACTGAAGAACTTCCTGAAGACTGGGGTCCATCTGAGGCAGAGGAAGACATCAAAGTTCCTTTCATTTACTCAACAAATACTTATTAAGTATCTGCTAAGTGCCTGTCACTGGGGATATAGCTGTGGACAAAACAGAATCTTTGCCTCCATGGACTTCGATTTTTATGGGGAAGATAGAAATAAATTGATAAATACCTGGTATGCTTATGGTGATATGTGTTAAGGAGAACTATAGAGAGGGGTATGGGGGATAGGGAGTTCTGGGGTGGGGAGGGACTAACATTTCGGGTAGGGGAGCTAGGGAAGATGTCCCCATATCAGAGAGGTCTGAGACATAGCACACCAGAGAACATCGATGTTTAAGCGGTGGGCAGAAGGAATTGCCAAACAAGCAGTGAAAATGTGGTCAGAGGGATGGTCAGAAAATTGAAACAAGTAAGCTGATGATTTAAAAGTTCTCTGGATTTGACTATTGGAAAGTCATTAGCAGAGAGAACATTATGGAATGGTGGGGGAAGGAAATCATCACTGTCCCAGGAAATGAAAAGGTGGCTTGTCCAGGAAGAAGAAGCAGGGAGTGTAGACTACTCTCTTAAGGAGCAGTATGGTAATGGCACAAGGACAGGAAGGCAAGCTTGAGGGGAAAGGAGGTTTGAATGGAGACCTTCTTTTCTTCTTTTTTAATACGACAATGTTTGTGTTAGGTTCTAAAGTACATTCCATCCGTTGCTGAACCCCTCTAAGGGTCTAAGGGTCTCAGTTAGATTACTTGAGAAATGAATCAGTCTAGAGCAAAGTGCTCCCACTGGCACTCTTCCCCACTTAGGGTTTCTTTCCTCTTGGTGCTGAAAAGGAAACCCCAGGCAGGATTGCAAGACTCACAGATATCCCAGGTACTGCCTTCCTTATATGGCATGGGCAAAATGTATCTTGGGGAAAAAGTTCCAGTCAAAAATCATTTGATTATACATGCAAGAACTTATTTCTGAACTCTCTAGTCTATTCTATTGGTCTACAGTCTATCTTTACACTGATACCACATTGTATTGATTACCATAGCTTTGCAGTAAGCTTTTAAATCAGGAAATGTGAGACGTCCAACATTGTTCTTCTTTTTCAAGATTAATTTGGCTATTCAGGACCCCATGAGAATCCTTATGAATTTTAGGATGACTTTTCTATTTCTGCAATAAAAAAGTCATTGATATTTTGGTAAAGATTGAGGTGTGCTGTTTTCTACTCTGCCCAGAGTTGATATCTGGGCTAGTATTAGAGCCTTGTGGACATCTTGGAGATGAATATGCTTTAGGTATCTCACTGCACAGCTATGGGAAACTGAGTCACAAGGGACTACCTGTCACAACATGCCCACTTGGGTGAGCTGTTCTTTTCCATGTAGATATGGAGACATGAAGTGGGATCCAGTCACAAGAATCAGGCTGTGAAATGTGTGGCAATGTAGAGAAGTTACAGTGAGCTAACAAAGGAAAGATGGGTTTAAATGGTTTCTTGGTGCTGAACTGAATGCAGACCCCGGGCTGCCTTATTTCCCTGTTTGGTCCTTTTTAAAAAAAATCCTCTGAGGGGCACCTGGGTAGTTCAGTCTGTGAAATGCCAGTATTCAGCTCAGGTCATGATCTCACGGTTCGTGGGTTCGAGGCAAGCATCAGGCTCTGTACTGACAGCTCAGAGCCTAGAGCCTGCTTCGGATTCTGTGTCTTCCTCTTTCTCTGCCCCTCCCCCATATTCATTCTCTCTCTCTCTCTCTCTCTCTCTCTCTCTCTCTCTCATATCTCTTTCAAAAATAAATAAACATTAAAAAAATTTTTTTTAATCCTCTGAAACAGGTGATTTAGCAGACTGGAAAAAGGAGCCAAGATTTCCATGTCATGATCTTACAAATCTCAGAGTAGGACTGAGCTAATGTTGGAGACATAATAACTTCCTTTTTCCTCTTATACAACCTCCTACACACCCCAGTGGAAAAAAGTGAAGTGGGTAAGTGCTCACGTCCTGCAATATGACATTCCAAGTTCAAATCCTAGCTTCTCCACCTGTAAGCTCTGTGGATCTGGGCAAATTATTTCATACCTGCAAACCTTGTTTTTCTTGCTCATAAAATGGGATTAGAACAGCATCTGTCTTTCAGACTTCTTATGAATGTTAATTACAAGAATGTACACAGAGGGCTTAGCGCAGG